TCCACGATGACAAATTTGTGTCAATGTAACTGCTGCAAACTGCACTTGCTGATAGAGACAATAAACAAACTAGAAAAAGAGAGAATAATGCACAAAATTAAATGCACCTACAAGGTACTCTGCAGTGTGAATGGTGAGGGCCAGACTCTCAGTTCTGCACGTGTGAACACAAAGCCACAGAGGGCTCTTCCCTTTGTGTCCTGGCTGCAAGATTTCTTACCTGACACCCCATGGGGATGATGCAAACAACACCAACAAACCACCCTTCCACCAGGAAGGAAGAAAACATCCCAATTTATGCACCACCCAGAAAAAGTACAGGTTTTTGATATGGTGATTTACATTTAAATAAGGTCTACAACACATTTATTTACTGATTGATGCGTTTTGTGTTTTTTAAACCAGGAACTCAGACAAATGTAAAGATAAATTAAAGCATGTGGAAACCTCACACCCACACCACTTTTTTCAACCTATGCTTCAGGTCTGAGAGACTTAGTAAGAAAACTTCCCAAAAGCACTTTCACCAGCTGTGGAAACCTGTGGCCATAAAGAACTGACTACAACTGGCCATCAGGGTGCTACAGCCCCTCCATAGCTGCAACTTTCTGATAGCAAAGATTATTTTGTTTTTAACCACTGTGCTGTCCTTAGTGTCACATGTGGCTGCTGGGATGGAAGAACAGCACCCTCTGCATTTTACTCTCAGATCTGCAATGCACTTTTCCACTCCTTTAAAATGGAAGCAACTTAACAGAAATAACAAAAAGGTCACACTGGGCAGCTCATTTTGTCTTCCTCAACAGAGAGAGACAATGGGTAGGGGACTTCAAACGAGGCACAGAGAGCCACAGAGGAAACCACAGGTTTCATTTTTTCCTTCAGAGCCTGTATTTAGTGAGGACTCAGCCCCCAGCATGAGACATAACTGTGTATCTGTTATTTGTGAGGCCTCCTCCCTCAGCACAAGAGATATTGTGCAAATATGTCAGGTCACCCTAAGAGGTTCTGTGAATTCAAATAATCTGATGTTAACTGAAAGATGCAGGTGAACACTCTCTAATTCCTCTCTTTCGGCTTTCTCAGGCCTCAGGAGAGTTACCTGCAGATAAGATGTTCCAGTTTCAGCAGCCAGGGTAATCTTCGACAACATACTTTGGGACGCAGGTTGGATAGTGGTAGTTTTGCTTTTTGGTTCAGAAAGTTCTTTTCTAAACTCTTCCTCCACTCACCCCTCCTCTCTCCAGTACCTTCATTTGAAGCAGCCTGAGCTCCTGTGCATCATTCAGAGCTGAAAAGCAGGGTTAGTTCTTTTCCTTCCTTCATCCATGACTCTGCTCCTGAGCTCCCTGCAGCTCAAACAGGAGCATCCCGGAGGCACTGCAGCCTGTGCTGCCTGTGAGCAGCCACGGAGGATCAACATTGCAGTTTGTGCTCTGTAATTGAGGCAGGCTGTGCTGGCAGCTCACAGTGCGAGTGATACAAGCACTCTTCTTGCAAGCCCTGATAAAGCTACCCCTGACTGCCAGAACATGCACGTTATTCCTCCCAGAGTTCTCTCTTTGCTGAAAGATTGCTGGTTTGTAATTACACCAGGTTACAGCCCTGGTGAGAAGGAGCTCTATTGAATTGCAGAACCCAAGTCTAATAATTAACCTGAGAACTGATCTCTGCTTCTTTAAATGGAGCAGTTCCATTTCCTCTTTAAAAAATTTCTATTTCTGTCCCATAAGGAAAGTGTCTTCTCCTGACAAAGTAACAGAGCTTTTCCCCTGCACCCTGAGAAGCCAAAACATAACACCAGATGCACCCTGCACTAATTCCAAAAGTTCTGCCGCTTTAATCCAGTCCAACAGAGTGGTGCATTCCAACCTCTGACATTACAGCTGCTGCCTTAAAGAACATGGGCTACTCCTTACCTACATCCCACAGCTGCACGAGGCTGTCCAGGACAGAAACAGGCAACCTCAGCACTAAGTTCAACACCTGCTCCAGATGCTATCACTGGCTCATCTCCTATCCATGGGAGTCTGCTCCAGTAACCAGGTTTCTTACGGCACAGCTATTCACAGTGGTCACAAACCAGGATTAGGCAACATTCCCATCAGGACACCACGTCTCAGTCCAGGAAATCAAAGCCCACAAGACCACCATGTGCTCACTGGACAGCTGAATTGCTCTCTTCCCAGCCTTATTAACAAATGGAGTTCAACTACATAGAGAAAATTCCATGATGTCACTAATGCATAAAATTTGATTTTGTTTAACACAACATTTGAGTTCAGAAAAAAGTCTTTGCTCTGAATTCCAACTACTCACTAACACCACTAAGAATGTAAGTAGCTAATTCCCAGATTTTCTTCTGACCTTTTCCCACAATTCCCATTAAGTTTTAAACCACAAGATTAGCAGAGCTATTGCCAAGAAAAGACTTCCACCATCCCCACCATGGAACCATAGGCAAAGTATGCAGAAATAAACACCTAGGGGCAAATTCCCTCTCACTTGGTTACTGATTTCCATGAAGAGCTTTGCAACAAGAACGGATGTGACCCTTTGCCCTAAACTGGGCATCCATGGTGTCAACACTTGGGGTTGCTGAAGAAAGCAGATTTGCAAAGAAGAAATCAGGATGGAACTCAGCTGCCAGCCCAGCACTGAATCCACTCAAAGGCAGATCCTGCCCAGCCAGCACAGACTCCTAAATAATCACAGGAAGCTTTCAGAGCTGTCAGCTGCTGAAGGCTGACGGAGAAGGGGCAGTTCACCTCACACCTCAGAGGGGCTGAGGCCTCAGAACCTCCCCCTGAAGAAGGTTCTGCACTGGCACTGCCTTGTGTGGAGTCCCTGGCGTCTGCTAAGGCAGCTGGGCTCATGGCTCAGTCCCTGTCAATCCCTTGATGCCTCATTACACATTTCGGTCCATGCTCCAGCTTCGCCCTGGGGCTCCTCTCCTCTCTGCAGACACCAGTCTCCATGAGACCCAAACTGCTGTCACTGTGTCACAATCAGCCAGCAGTTTCCAGAAGCTTCTGGAAGGTGGGGGCTATGAGAAGGGAGACAAGACCAAGCAGACATTCCTACATAAGGATGTTTTTCCTGAGACAATCGGGCTAAACACACCATTGAACACTCCAACAAAAGGACACTGAGATATCACTGATTCCTCTGAGAGTTGAAATCCCATTTCTTGACCCAGCAGACACAATCTTGCTCCTTTCCTTCATTTTCAAAATTGGCCTCATTAGATTATCTTGCGCTTCAAAACAATTTTGGATACAGAACTAATTCATACTGGGATGAAGAGCAAAGAAAGATTTATAAAAAAATCAGAAGCCATGAAAATCTCAATTCCCTCACCCTTTAAAAATCCACCCCTGGTTCTCTCTTTCCCTTCTGCCTCATTCCTTTTCTCCACATCATACCTCATGCTTTTATTTAATTAAGCAAGTAAAAATATCTTAAAATTGCCTTTTGCCTGGATTTTCTAATTTTGTTTCTCCTACTACTACACAGAGAAAAAAAATCTACCAGTGAAGTCAAATACCACTATCTGGTCCTAATGTTTTTATATCATCAGTTTTGATAGAATGTGGTTCCCAGGATTCAACCATTGCTGTATGAATTGCATATTCACTTGATGCCTGTTTCAGATGTGACCCTTCATACCCTGAGCTGCTAGTACAGCAACACAGAGCATCCAATGGAAACTATGGCATCACCACACACCTGCCAGCTTGCAAAGCTTCATGTTTCAGGGCCTAGTTGCAAAACAAGCCTGTGCTCTCACACTCTCTTGATCTTATGTCCCTACTTTAAGATATTTGATAGTTTAATTATTACAATTATTATTTTATTACACCATTATATGTCACATTATTATTAGATATTCTATACTAGATGACATATTAATATAGAGTACATTACTACTATTAAACTATTGGATAATTAAGATATTAGGCTAATAAGATTTTTTAGACACTAGACATTGGGATATTTGGGTACTAGAATATTAGGATTTAGATATTATGACCATGGTTGCACAGAAGCTCTGGCACTCTGGGTAGGATATTTCCAACAAATGAGCAAAATCAGAGACTGTTTAAGAAGACTTCAGCAATGCAGTAGAGAAAGACAAGCTGAGAAAAGTAACCAATTTACCTGAAGTATGAGCAGCATCTGAATAATAGAGGGTGGAACTCTGGCTCTGGAACGGGATAATGCATCCTCCAATTTGATATTGAGGGTGATTATATTCCTGAAGTGCAGAAGAGCCAACTGCCGAACAGAGGGCTCCTTTCCCTTGGAAACACAAAGACAGCAAGACAGATTATAAGCAGTGTGAAATGAGTTCCAAAATCCTCTGTTCAAACTCCTTCCTCCACTCCTGAGGGATTACAGGAATGGCAAACCCAAATGAAACATGAAGGAAACATCCCAAAGGACAGAGAGCAGCCCCCAAGGCTGCACAGTAAATTTGATTTGGCACCAATGAACTCTACAGATGTGACTGTGTCTGACTGCACGTGCAAAGGATGAAGAGCTGGGGTGGGATGGGAGCTGCATGAGATAAGAATATTTTGTATTTTAACAGTTCGTCACAAATTAAATGTATCATAAGTTAAAAAAAGAGGCACAACTGCAAGTTGGTTGAATTTCCATTATTTTGTAAGATTTTGAGTATTCCCTGTTTACTCTCTCCAAATTTGGCAGGAATCCTGACTCAGCCCAGCTGTGGATGCTCCTCTCTGTACAGTTTGAGAGATTCACTATAAAGCAGGAGCAGAGCTGAAGTTTGCTGCTGCATTTTCAAAGCCATCTGTCTTTGGTTCAGCAATGCCTGCTCACTGAGGAGGACTCCAGCTGCAGAACACAACTCCAGCTCTGTCTGCAGGGCTCATGCAGAGCTGTGAAACTTTCTCTCTCTGCCATGAGGGGTTTTTCCTTGGCTATACTTGGCTGTACCTATGGGAGCTTTGGTGTTCAACTGAGGTTGACTTAAGTCTGGAGTAAATAAGCCTGACCCAACCCATTCCTTCTCACTCCCTAAATTATTTACACTGCAGTAAAGAAGGTCCCATATCAGCTTCAGTTGCTAATGAATAGGATTTACAAGAGCACATAAGCACCACTTGAGCTTTTGGAAGAAATGTCAGAACATGGGCAATAAGATCTATTTGAATTTACATGGGACTTAGGATTCTTAAATCCTCAAGGTTCCTTTGGAAATTCAAGTAATTATTTCCATCTGACAGGGGATAAGACTTGTGTTACTGAAATATTGTCAAAGGCCTCAGATACACAACAGAGTTTAATTCAGACTTCATAGCTGTGACTGTCTGAAGATGCAAACAGTAATATCGTTTACATCTGGGTAATCATTTGAGCCATAAAGTCCACTTGAACAAATGGGAGAAGGTTTCCCAAGTTTCCCCCAATATATTCGGGCACCGAGTTCCCACTAAAACCTGTAGGCATCTATGAGCAACTGCAAAGATCCCTGGCACCTGTGTGGTACACATTTCCTTGAGACTTCAGTGACAAACAATACTCTCTGGCTATCGCTGCATTAGAAGATCAAGCACCTATTGTGAATCTAAAATTACTGCACTCAAAATCTGTGCTCATCAAACTCCACTGACTTTTGCTGTCCACTTACCATAGCAGAGAATCTGATCTCAGAAACACAATTCCTTTTCAAAACTGGAGATACTTCCAGGACAAAATTCACAGTGCAGAGAAGGAAATGCATATATTTAAGTCAACACAACTCCATTTATTCCACTCTGCAACACTTCAGTTTATCATTCATGACATTTTTTGACTTTTAGTGTGATTGGCAGATGGACTAACCAGCCTCTCTGCACTCTACTTTTGTTTTCCAAGTTCCCCTTCATCTTTTCCATCTGAGCACCTCAGAGCACGCGCATAAGTAACTTATTTGTATGACATGGCTAAACAGAACAGCTGCACTGGAGGCTGGCACAAGGAGAGAGACTGAAGGATTGCATCAATCTGCTGATGAACCTGTAAAGCTGCTTTTTCCAGTTTTCTAAGATTCTATGATAACACAGTAATTTTTTCACCTGCACAGGATAGAAAATAGCCTGCAGCATGGGCAGGACATCACTGAAGAAAAAATCCCAGGTTTCAGCTAAGGTATCCAGTAGCTTCTGCCCTGCAAAAACACAAAACAAACTAGTGAAGAGTTTTGGTTGTAATCAGATGGCTGCAAAAAGTAAAATGTGCAGGAAACAATGTGACCCTGCTATATGCTAGGATAAACCATGCAGCAGCTACTTGTTAGTTTTCCACAGTGGTGTATCAGATCCTTCCATATTTGTGTCTTTCCAGGTGACTCACCTAATATTCTTAATAAATTCAGAGTCTGAGGTGACTCAGGAGAACCTTGTGAAGAATGAAGAGTAATGGCCCAGGTTACATCTTCCTCCTGCAGTAACACTTGCTGGACAGGACTGTGGAGGGGAGCAGGGGGAGAGCACAGCAGAGTAGGTGTGGGAGCATTCCTGCAGAGGAACTCACCCCACTGTGCTCTCTCCTGCCTTTCAACTGCAGGGCAGCAGAGCAAACCTCACTCTGTGGAGATGCTCTGTAAAGCATCCTCCCAAACTGATCCCTTGCAGCTTTTCCACTGTTCCCTTTCTCACTTACACAGAAAAAGTCACCCAAGTCCATGGAAAGAACAATCGTGTTAGGGCTGTAATTTTTACTCTCACTTTCATGCGATGCAGTTAGAATTTGCTATGGGGAGAGTTCCCTGCGGCCCTCATCACAAGGCCACCTCCTGTGGGAACTCAGCACAGCAGTCCTGACGTGCAGAGTCACCGAGAGGTCCTGGAACGTTGCCAGAAGCGTTTGGTGGTTAGACTTTGATCCTGCACAGGACGTAACAGCTGTATGAGGATGGGAGGATCACACGGGGATAAATGGTGAAGAGATAGATTAATTATAGTGTGAAACACAGGTTTTAGAATCTTGGTACAGGGGGGTTCTAAAGGGACAAGATGGAGGAATTAGGGCGTGTCCTGTCCTCCTTCTTCTTCTTCTTCTTCTTGTCATCCATCTTCGGTGGTGATGGTGGCACTTTGAGATTGGTTCTTACTGAATGTGCACTTGTCAATAAGAGTGAAAGGTATTGGGGAGAAAAGGTAAATATCTTACACGTAGTTTTTGGTATAAAGATAAGTGACCGCCCCGAGGGCAGTCAGTGTGCTCATGGCTGGCTTGCTGTGCGGACCTCTGTTGGGACGGGAAAAATATTGTAGATAAGAATTAATAAACAACTCTGAAGACCGAAAAACCTGAAGACTCCGTTCGTCCTTTGGAGCGCGGGCTGCCCCAAGGCCATCCCGAGCCTTTCCAGGCCATTAGAACAGCCGAGACGGGACAACCTCCAACCCATTCCTTGCCAATCCTCACAACAAGGCCCCCTCCATGTCCTGGAATATTCACAACAAGGCCACCTCCATGTCCTTCCCCAGCTGCAGCCACCTGGAATCCTCCCCAGCAGAATCTGGAGAAGCTCTGGCCAGGCTGTACAACCAAGCTGGATATTGAGCTCCTCACAGAACATTTTACACAACACAGAGGCAAACGCAGGAGCCAAGATCCACAGAGGAGATATGGTTCAACAGGTGGGCTCTGGCTTCAGATCCCTGTTCCCCAAAAGGGCCCATGTGACCCTGGACAAGCTCTCTATCATGCCTGTGACCCCAAGCCAGCTGTGAGAGCAGAGCAACGCCTGCACCTCCACCAGCAAGTGTTATGGAGGAGAAGACATCAGAGATCCTGACCTATTCAGACAAGACAATAGGACTTACCAGGAAGCAAATTCAGTAGCAATCAATCAATATTGCTATTGGTGTCAGAATGTGATGCTATTCTCAATTTTTGTATTAGAGCATTACTTGGAGCTTCATCCAGGGAGTATTTTGTCCAGAATTACACACATATCACATAGCAATTCTGCATGAAAGCACTGACACTGGTGACTGCACTCAGAGTTAGCCAGTCTTCACTATGGGATACTTGATCCCTCTACCTTTTTAGGCACATGATGAATAACATCAGTTGTGGTGAATCTGCAGCTCCTGAATGATTTCCTTGCTGACGACTCTAAGTGCTTTCAGTGACAGATATGGATCATCATGCTATACAGTGTTCCACCAGCTGCTGGCTTGTGGAACACACCAAGATCGTTTTTCAGCACCACCAGGCAGGAATTCTCTCCATCCTGCACAAGACTGAAAAGGGTGTTCTCTGTTTTCATTTTTAAAACATTTTAAAAAATACCTGTTTTTCATTAGTTTTAATGAAATACAGCAGGAGACCAACTAAAAGATTTCTTGCAGCTGTAACAGTAGTAGTAGTAGTAATAATAACAATGGTGGCAGTAGTAGTAACAGTAATAATAAACATGTGCTGGTTTTGGCTGGGATCAGTTTCTTCCCAGGAGCTGGCAGGAGCTGGAACAGCGCTGATAACACAGGGATGTTTTAATTATTGCTGGGCAGGGTGTGCACAGAGCCAAGGCCTTTTCTGCTCCTCTCCCACCCCGCAGTGAGGGCCTGGGGGGGGGACACAAGGAATTGGGAGGGGTCCATTTTCACTTCTCCCGAGCGGGATGTCACTGAAGGAGATGGAGGCGTCCTTGCTGGAGACAATCCTTCCCTGACTCCCTCAGTGCTGCTCTGGGCAAGCACCTCTCCTTTGAAAAGGTTAATGAGAGCACCAGGGCAGGGCCCAACAGCAGACTGCAGGGATGGACTGAGACCTGCTGACCCGCAGGAACAGAGTGCACAGCATGGATTGAGGA